CGTTCGAATACGTTGGAGGAGTGAAGATGACGTTCAAAAACCGGTTATACAGAGTGTTCGGGTTTGGAAGAGGTTCAAGAAGGCAAAAATCGGTTATAAAACGAGATCGGGTATAAAAATGGAAAACCAATTTGGTCCGGTGTGGAAGAGTTTGAAGAGATTCAAGTAGAAGGTCGAAAATCGAGTATTAAGATGGAAAAAAAGTTTACATTTAGAAATGTTTTTCTTAGAGCGCGATGAGGCCTTTGATAATGTCCACCGCAGTTGTGGACGAAACGTCAGGAAGAAATTCCCATGGACCACGGCTTCAAAGCCCGAAAAACATTTCTACATGTAAATTTGACCGGCCGTAAAGGTCTTCACAGTCTGAAAAAAAGTTTATTCGAATTCGTTGGTGGAGTGAAGATGACGTTCAAAAACCGGTTATACAGAGTCCGGGTTTGGAAGAAGTTCAAGAAGGCAACAATCGGTTATAAAGCGGGATCGGGTATAAAAATGGAAAACCAATTTGGTCTGGTGTGGAAGACTTTGAAGAGATTCAAGTGGAAGGTCAAAAATCGAGTATTAAGATGGAAAAAAAGTTTACATTTAGAAATGTTTTTCGGGCTTTGAAGCCGTGGTTTATGGGAATTTCTTCTTTACGTTTCGACGGGGAATCCAGCAGTTGAACCAGTCTTAGTCGAAAAGCACGGGAGATCACTTCGCCCACTGCCTCACGGCCTTTGATAATGTCCACCGCAGTTGTGGACGAAACGTCAGGAAGAAATTCCCATGCACCACGGCTTCAAAGCCGAAATGTAACTTTTCTGACTCACTTGTGTCTTGTAGATGTTGGCGGCTACGTCTACAGCAGCCAAACCCAGTCCAGCCGGTCCAGCGGTAATCACAACCGGTTCATTTTCCTTCAGTTTGGATAGTTTGGAAAACGTGTAAAGAGCCAGAGAATGGCCATAAGCTATAACGGCTGCGTCCTTTGTGGTCACTTCGGTTGGTATTCTAAATACATCATCGATGTCTAGCTAAAGCAAGATTTTGTTCAATATACACGGTGCCTGATGAGGATGTACACATTTTTAAGTAAGTGTTTAGAATATTTTAACGAAGAACAGAGAAGAAAGATCTTTCAGTTGCGTGGAAACATCCATTTTTGGGCGCAAAAATCGGGATTTGTTGTAAATTGAATGAAATTCTCAACAATATTAGGTCGAAGTGTGTTCTATAAACTCTGAAACTTTCAAGTCCCTACTTGCCCTAGACTGTAAGTTAGGACTTTTTACTGAAGAGCCTGCACTTCCGTGAAATCTTCCTTTTTGGACCACCATCAAGTCGCTACTTAATCTATATTGCACGATAGAAATTTTAAATGAGCGTCTTCTATTATTTCTTCAAAATCACTTTCCAAAACTTAGCTCGCCCTGTGTGAGAACGAAACTACAAAAGCAAGTCTAATAAGAAAATGTAGGATGTTTGGAGCAGTTAATTGCCTAGATTTCGCTATTTGGACAGTTCACACACGAGATATTCCACTCAGCTCAAATTATAGGGCCTCAACTCACCACACACTCCTCAGCCAGCCCCCCGAAATTCTCCAAACTAAGTCCCACCACTTTCTCCCCAACACTGATTTGATCTGCCCCAACCTCCCTGCCCACTTCCGAAACTTCCCCGGATAGTTCATAGCCTGGAACAAACGGCAGCTCTCCTCCTCCCTGTTTGAACTTGTGACTATCCACTGAATTCAAGCTACAATAGCTGACTTGCACCCGCACTTGATTTGCCTTCAGCTTCACCTGTTTCTTCTCTACAATTTCTATGGGTTTGGCGTGTTCGGTGATAATCGCCGTTTTAAACGAGCTGGCATGCCTTCGGCCCGGATTAAGAGGTTTGAGAAGTTCGGTTGTTTTAAGCAGCTTTGCAAAAGCTTGCCCCAATATTTTGCTCATTTTCGAACACTTTCATCTACTTGACGCAACTGGGGTTCATGTGGCCGGTCTTCTTCGTTTAGAGTGTCAACTCGGTCCAATGTTGCCGACTTTAACGCAAAAGTTTCAAACACTGCAATTAAAAATTAAAAAAAAACAAGGGCTGGAATCGAACCGTTTCTGTCGGGGAGAGTGAGGGCTATAAAAGAGCAACACGAAGAAAAAAATAAAAGTATTTAATCCTCTATCTACGGGAGAAATTCATCGCATGGCCAGCGAAATTTCCAGATTCAGCCCCTGTAAACTCGAATAAAATACCTATTAATACAACGAGAGCTGCTGGTCCTTGTACATGAAATTGAGCGAAACATCTATCTTGGGGCTCGACCCGGCTATGCACATTATCCTGAAAGGTTCCTCATGTTTAACCACACTGTAAGTGGTGACTGCACTGGTAGGAATTTCCGTTATAATGTCGCCATTAAAGCTGGCTTGGTAGAACAGTTTGGACTTGCCTGAAAAACCATATAATGCAAATTTCCGCAGTGCAAAAGGAAAGTTTGATAGTACCTCCGGCCAGTACTTTGTCGTCGTAAATTTCGGCTACGTGAATGCCTTGATCATCAATGGGAAAAATCGTGGAATTCGTCAAGAAACGATAGTGATATAAAGTCAAACGGGGCCCACCGCCGCACACCTACAAAAAACATATTTACTAATAAACCATCAAATTTCCCCCTTTAGATACTCACAATGTAGTCCTCATTACAATCAACAGCTCCTAACCATTTTCCCAGCTCATTTCTAGCAACTTTGCCATTCAAATGGGGCTCTAGTTTATCGGTTACCTTGTTGGTTCTCAAGTCCCAAATGTTTACCAGCCCATCTTCTCCACATGAGATCAGATTATTGTCTCCACTATGTAAAGGAAGCTTCAGTCGGACCAACGGCTTGTTCTAGTTAAAATGCTAACTTACGTTTTGCAAATGGCATGTATGTAGTCCGAATGTCCGCTGAGCACTTTGAGACACTTTCGGGTTTCCAGATTAAAGCAGTAGACTTTGTTGTCGCCACACCCAGCATAGAAAGTGCCGGTGTTCTTATTGAACAGCATCGCATTGACTTCGGCCTTATTAAAGCTGTTCTGGCCCGAAGGGATTTCGATTGACCAGGTCGCTTGCACGTTCCTATTCGATCCTTTGATGTTGTTCCATAAATAGGCGTAAATCTCCCCATATCCGCCTACAAGCAGGTGCTTTGGGGTGGATAAAAGGCTGTTGACTTGGTAGTCGGCTTTCACCACTATTCGGTTCCGGGGCACCAGTTCTTCTTTAGTTATATTCCCCACAGGGTTCACCACCTTTGATAAGCTGCATTAAGCATAGATAATTGTTTAGAGGGTTTAGATTCAATTTACTAAGTCCTTACTTGAAGACCGACAGAGTCCCATAAGCATCTCCAGTTATGAGCAAAGTTCCACATGGACTAAACGCTTGGGCTAATACAGTATTGTAGAACTCCTTATTGAGCTTGTTTGCCATTGTTTTCACTCAAAAACTCCTCACATTGACTCAAAAGCTCTAACTGATTGAGGTTGGTTTGAAGCAGTAGTAAACACACAGAAAACCGGGCTGTCTACGCCACAAGCAACGCTGCCGCGTTTCAAAGGAAGTCAAAATTTGAGGAAAATTTAACAGGAATTTTCAACCTTTACAAAACTACCCACGAAACTTACCACTATACAAAATTAACAAATTGACAACGGCGCTTTGATCGCAAGAGCTTCCCTTTGGGTGGTTGCTAGGCAATAACAAATACACCATTTGAATCAACTAAATGCGCCCAAAGCGTCCTACTTGGTAACTGAGGCTCATTTCAGGTCAAAAATGTCTGTTAGCATGAGCCCTGTAGAATATGAGAGTAAGAAAATTTGTTGTTTAATATATTTCATAAGATTTTTTCCAAAATTGATCAAATTTTTCAATTTCCGGCGCAAAGAATGCATTTTTTGCATGCGTTTTACTCTCTAAAAGACTCCATTTCAAGCATTTCACAAACTGTTGGAAGATATGCAGTAGCTTTCGTTTACGCTCTTAATTTTTTTTTAGATCTGGAGCAGAAGTACTTGGAAAGCAAAGCCAAGCTGAAGAAGACCGTGCAGTATAATGAGCGGTATTCTTTACAAGTTCAAAAGGTTAGGTCAAAAATTCATGCTTCTCGTCATGTTTTTGCTCATTTCTCGGAGAGAAATTCAGCTCGGGCGCTCATTTTTACACCACTGGTTAGAGAATAAATTGGGTCTTTTACAGTATAAAGGTTTCCTTATGAACGGCTTGCGGTTTTCTCAAAAAAGTCCAAATTTCCAGAACGATGTTAGTTTGCTCGTTTTTTTTATAGCAAAATCGTCTCAAAAGTCGCCGCTTTTTTCGACATTTCTCAAGAGCCATTTAAGCCACAGAGCTCGTTTTGGTATAATTGAAAAGATAATTTAAAGCTCTATTCACGCAAGGAAACGCGAGTGAGGAAATGGCGGTAGTTTTCACACAAGAAAGAAAATTTGAGTATCACGCATTTAGGTACAAGATTAGGTCAAAAATTCATGTTTCTCGTCACGTTTTTGCTCATTTCCCGGGGAGAAATTCAACTCGGGCGCTCATTTCAACACCACTGGTTAGAGCATAAATTGGGGCTTTTACAGTATAGAGGTTTCTCTCTCTTCTTCAACTTCCGAGTTCTCTCAGTGTTTCTTCAAACTGTATCCCTAAATAGTTTTTCTACTTTGCTTCAGCTGAACAAGCGGTTAAAGCGCCTGGAGTCCGAAAATAAGCAGCTTGCAAGTCAGGCTAAAGCTCGAGACACCAGCGAATCGGAGGGTTCTAGTTCGGTAAACCTGCATCAGGAACGTTCAAGCATGATAGAGCTCGTCCATTCAAAAAACCAGCAGATTTCCGATCTTTTAAAGGACATCGAGGTAAAACGCGTTATTTCCAATTTCGTACTGTTGATAAGCTTTGGGGATATTCAAGGAAATGGAAACGGAAAACACAGTTCTAAGAGACAAACTGGTGGAAGCGAAAGATCAACTTGCTGCGGCCACCAAGGAAATCACTGCTACGACAGAAAAGTTGAAAACCCTCGAAAATCTATTGGAAGAGCGTGACGGTAACTATGGACGTTTTATTGAAGAAAACCCGCTAAATTAATTAAGTGTCCTTAATTGGAAAGTTCAGAAAGCCTGAAACACTTTTCTTCCCAACTTGATCAACTCAAAGACCAGCTAAAAGCAACGAATTCAGAAAAAGCCGCTGCAGAAAAACAACTGACTTCCGCCCACAATCACGCAAAGCAGCAGGAAAGTGAATGGAAGGTAAAAACACCAACAAAAATTAGCCAGTACCTTTAAAATTGTTCATTCTAGGCCCTTTTGCAAGGCAAAGACGACGAAATCCTGCTACTAAAACGCTCACTACCCGAAGCTTTATCATCGAAATCCCCCGCACCTTCAAAAGAAGACCAGCTATCGGAAAACAAGCCAGATTTCCAAGAAGGTAAACAACAATTTGCTGAATTGCGCCTCGCTAATGGCTTTTTTGCAGAAAAAAAATTGGAGCTCACTTTGGCCGCAACCGAAGAGCAACTAAGTGAGCTCAAATTGGAAATGCAAAATTGCGTCGCCGAAATGAGGCAAAGTGCGAAAGTTATTAATAAGCTGAAGGAGGAGCGGCAAGCATGGGAAAACCAGCTGAAAAGCATGAAGGAAGCTGAGAAAAGCATGGCGACGCAACTGAAAAAAGCTCACGATCGCTGCCAAGCAATGCAGAAGGAAGTGGAATATGCCAATAAATTAACCAACATGTATGTAACGGATGTAAGTTTCAACAAACTAAGACGAAATTTTATGAGAAATTTTCATCGCAAAACACCTTTTTTGCAGTTAAATTCCATTAAAGAGCAGATGACGGAAAATGGCCAATGCGAGTTGGTGACTCAATTGGAAGACATCGAGGCGTTAAAAGTCGAAAAAATGCTGCATGAAAAGCAAATTGTCGGTCTAGTGAGAGACATCAACAAAATCCAGGAGATGCTCAATATTCTGCAAATTGAAAACACTGATTTAAGGTAGAAACTAAGCGCTCAACTACCGATTGATTCAAGACAGTCGAATTAATTTTAGAGACCGTTTGGGCATAACATCAGACGTTGATATTGAAATCGACCCCGAACTGATAAACGAGTCGAAGAAGGAAAAGAAGATGATAGCGAAGCTGCAAGCGCAGCTTCGGCATCACCAGGAAGAAAATATCGGGCTAAAATTAGAAGCCAAAAGCCTCAAACAACAGGTGCTGGAGTTACTCATCTTAAGCCGCAGGCAGGTGTTAATATATATATATTTGGTACATAGATAGCAACCTTTCTCAATGAGCCTAAAAGCGAAGCGGGAGCAAACGACATTAAAGCTCTGTCCGAAGAAAACGAAGCATTACGTAAAGGCTTGCATGAAATCTTAAACAGCGTACGAGTGAAGAACGGTAATTTCTCCTTTCCGTCAGCTTTATTTCAGTGTTGTTTTACGCTTATTCTGCTTTTCAGAAACTGAACCCAGAGAACTGAAGTCGGATGTTTTGGAACGACTTCTGAAGGCGCTGGACGTGAAGCACACTTCCGGCTGGTACCATCCAGACATGCGAATCCAGGTCAGTTTTCATTGACTGGCAAGCCGCGTTTATTTAGTCGGACACTATTTTAGGCCGAGCTGCACACCTTAGAGGGAGTCAATATGGAGTTAAGAGAGCAATTACACGACGCCCGGTAGCTACCAAAAAATGAGCTGCTCGCTTTTTTACAACCGCAATTTTTAGAAACGAATTGGACAAATTGAAGCGCTCTTTACCCACTAATCGATCACAAGACACATCAATAGAGAATCCTAAGCAAAATTCCGGACGAAATGAAATACGCGCGGCAGATTCGAAAATTATGGACGCAATTTTTGCCACTGATGTTCCTTGCATTGAAAAAGTCAAGACATCAATTCTGAAGATTCTACTGGTGAGGTTTTGACTTTGCAACTCTGCTGCTAAGCACATTCATTTTTCGTTGCCCATTTTCAGTATTTCATGGAAACAGGCGAGGAAGTCGATTCGCAACTGGAAAGCGAATTCGAAATGGTAAAAGACAACCTGAATTTGCTGCATGTAAATTGCCAGAGAGAGCAGGAGGCGGTGGTGAAAAAGCTGAAAATCCTCGAGCAAGAGCTTGATACGCCGCTAATTGATATCGATCTAGTCAGCTCGATGGACTTGTCCGCAATGATCCAAACGGAGAGAAAAAAGTCGCACCACTTGTTCAACCAATTAATTAGGCTCCAGGATGAGCATTCACGAGCCAGATCTGATCTGGCTAACTTGTCTAAAAACCATCAATTAGAGTTGGACGCGTTGTTACGGCTTGCGGTGTTCCTCCAGGCCAAACTGTGCCATGAAAAGGTCCACCATTGCACAGCCACGGAAAACTCTAAAGAGCTTCAAAGCTCTCTAAACGATTACGTGAAAAAATATCGCCAACTTTTGGGCGAAGTCGAGGGACAACGCGATCAGCACAATCTGGAAAAGTCCATTTTAAAACACACCGAGGCTGATTTGACTAAGGAAAACCGTGATCTCAAGGGTGAGTTAAGTTTCTATTAGCTGCGCATAGTTTGCACAATTTGAGGTTGTAGACAAACTGAACAAACTGCTAGTAAAATTAAATCAAGAAGTACATAAAGAGGACCCCAGCGCTCGTTCGCTGTCAAAAAAGGTAGCTGATCTTGAGGTGAGCAAAATACTTTCATTTGCTTTTCGGTTTCGAAACGCTCCATCTTTAATTGTGCTTAAGGTTGAGGCATTATCAGAAAAAAACCGCGCCAATCATACGAACAACTTGTACGAGCTGGTTAAAGAACAGTTGCGGAAATCGGAAGAAAAATTTTCAGAATTTTCCAAATTCGGAGACGGACTTGTGCAGAAAAACCTGCTTCTGCAAGAGAGAATCGTGGAGCTGGAAGACCAGTTGCTTTGCGTAGATACTGCCGATATTCATAAGGTAAAGGGCTTTAAACTGGGAAAAATTGGGGGCATATTCTCAATGTTGTATACAGAATCTAGAGGAAAACATCGAGTCTTTGATGCGAGACAATAAACAACTCATAGCAGATAAAGCGGCGTTGTCTGCAAGATTGCAAGAGCGTGAAGAGCGAATGCAACAAGCCACAAGTTGGAGCATGAAAAAAGAACAAGAGCTGCTAGGCAAGTAGCATTTGGGCCCCCAATAATCGCTTCTGAAACTCCCGATGTTTGCTCCTTCAAGGACTAAAGCATGAGATCCTGGATTTAACAGCCACATCGGACGAGAAGACTGTGATTGACGCGCTGTACAGCGACTTGTCTAAATCACGTTCAGATACTCGAGACTACCAACTGCAGGTCGACTTTCTGCGAAGGGAAGTTTCCACTTGGGAAGCCGGTTATGCAAAACTCTGCTCGGAGATGGAAAGGCAACGCTCGCAGTTTGCGACCGTCGGAAAGAGTTTGGACAAGAAAATCAGGTAAACATCCTGGATGCATTAGATGCACAGATTAAAATTAGTATTTGCAGGACACTGCAGGACATAGTGCTAAAGCAGCGCATTCAATATCATGGATGCGTAGCATTAACTAATCAAGAGATTTTGGTGGAAAAATTGAATACAATCCAAAAGGAGAGACACGAAGCTTTCCTGGCACTGCAAAGCGCCAGAGAAACCCGCGACAAAATCCCCCCCGAAGCTTCATCGAGGACGCAAGACCCGGTAAAATCAAGCATTTATGGGCTGTGAAGCAAAAGTTTATTAAACAAATTTCAGAACCACCAAAGCGAAAAGCGACAAGTCGACTATCTGCAGCAAAAAGTTAAGAAGCAAGACCTCGACCTGCAAAGGCTTGAAAAGGAGCTTTTCCTGGCTTATCAGCTTGGCACCTTTGAAGCTTCAAACAAAAACAGTCCGAGGCCACCGAAAAGAAGGCCTGTACTAGTCTGGGAAATTGCGTCGCAAGAAACCGTCGATCCTGTTGCAACTGCCCCTGAAAAACCTGAATCCAAAATGGTCATTATGAGGAACATGGACTGCCAGACGGAGAAACAGAAACCGGACGAGACTCCACAGCTGGAAGCAGCCAGAATTCATCTTAACAATTTGCAGAGTCAACTTTCTGTTAAGGATAGCGCAATCATAGAGAATAAAAGGTCAGACTATGTAGGCTTTAACGGCCGCTTAAATCACATTTAGGAATGTTTTTCGGGCTTTGAAGCCGTGGTCTATGGGAATTTCTTCCTGACGTTTCGTCCACAACTGCGGTGGACATTATCAAAGGCGATGAGGCAGTTGGCGAAGTGATCTCNCGTGCTTTCCGACTAAGACTGGTTCAACTACTGGATCCGCGCTATTATGTATAATAGTTTGGTTAAAAACTTGTGTGTTTCCTTACTTACTACTGGATCCCCTGTCGCCGCATAAATACGACAGGGGCTCCAGTAGTTGAACCAGTCTTAGTCGGAAAGCACGGGAGATCACTTCGCCCACTGCCTCATCGCCTTTGATAATGTCTACCGCATTTGTAGACGAAACGTCAAGAAGAAATTCCCATCGACCACGGCTTCAAAGCCCGAAAAACATTCCTAAATGTAATCAAAGGTCAGCTAACAAAATTGCAAAACGCCTTAACACATAGACGCAATTAAATTAAGGTTGCTGTTAGTGCAAGAAGGCGAGTTATCAGAGTGCAGAGAACAACTCAGAAGGTCAAAGGAGGAAGTCGCTTTTCTGGAGAACCAAACGGTTTGCTTGGGGCTGAATTTAGAGAGAGCGAAAATGCCTTCTTCAAACCAGCACAATGGAGGAGCTGGCGACGGTTCGGCAGTTCCAGGCAACTCTTCAGAGGAAGACTTCTTATCACTTAGAGTACGCACAATTACTTCGACCAACCGTTGGTTTAGGCAACCACCCACTTGTTTGCAGGTAACTTTGAAAAACGCTCAGGACCGCATAAGGCACAAGGACTCGGAAATCATCAAGTATCAAACGCTGCTGAAAACAGACCGAGACAGACATAGTCTAGCGGCTGCTAATCTGCAGCAGGAGTTGGTGGTTTTGCGCAAAGCACTGCTTGCAGAGCAACAAAACACCCAAAGGTACCCCAAACTTACACCAATACAAATATTCTTACGCAATATGAACCAGCTTCCAGCAGGACTTAGCTGCGGCGCGCAATAAATCCGCAGCTGTCGAAAAGTACATCTCTCAGGTGAGAGCTTTGGAGAAACACTTGGCTGAGCTGCATACAAAACAGGCGCAGCTACAAGCTCAGCTGCAGAACTCCCTCCAAGAGGCAGCGAGGTGGCGTGAGATGGCCCAGGATAGATTGCTTGCAATGCAGCAGCTGGGAAAGAGGTCGGCTATAAATTAAACAACCCAACCTTGTGTATGGGGGCTGATTTTAAATTGCAGCCTAAACGACCAGCACAATAAGGAGCTGCACAATTACAAAACGGATTACCAGAAGCTGAAGGAACTGTCTGAAGAGGAGCCAGGGAAAAAAGCCACCCCGGAGCAGAAGCTTGCCGGTTTTCTGGACCCGGATGTTTTGAAGCTTTGTCGGGACAAAGACGAGAAAATTCAGGAGCTTTCCTCGAAGTTAAAGCAGGTCAGGGACCATTTGGGAAAATCTATTTCCGCTTTTCCTACAGCGTTATTTTGAGATTAGCTGGAGGCTGCAGGTCCAGTGCCCAACGGACAGCCAGCTATCCAGGAAAAACCCAGTCGATTAAAGGAATTTGAAATTCTCAAGACCAAATGTGAAGTTTTGGCGAATAAAGAGCGCCACTTAAAGGAAGAACTTAGGGATCTAAGGGAGCAACTATCAAAGAAGTAGTTCTATTTCCGTTTGGTTAGTGACGACTCTGAACTTAACGATGATTTTTTAGGGCAAATTTGTCAGCGCGGAGTCAAAAATCGGAAAAATCGGTCAAGGAACAACTGCAGAAGCGAGTCAGTTTTCTAGAGCGCGAAATTGAGGAGTTGAACGAGAAATTAACCAGTCAACAGCTTATCAACGAGAAGCACAAGTTCGCTGCCAACGAGGATTTCGAAAAGTGGAAGAAGCAAAAGTTCTGGCAGGAAAATTGCGAAAAATACAAAACAAAACTGCAGGAGCGCGAGGAAGAGTTCCAGAAGCTGCAGCAAACGTGCACTGGGTACAGGTTGTAACTGCTGAATTTTCCCAATTTCTTCACTGGACTAATTGAGTGGTTTTAGGATGCTAATCGAGCGCCTAGAGCGGGAGAAAATCAGCCTGGAGAACCGCGTAAAAGCCCTGAGGTCTGAGCAAAAAAACATGCTTTGCAGCGAGGACAAATCCGTTCTAAAGATCGAGAACGACAGACTTACATGTGAATTAGCCGCTCTTCAGGCTAAGCTGGAAATGCGGCAGCATGGAGATGGTGCGTTAAGCACCGCGGTTATGCAGGAAAAACTGGAAGCTCAGGAGAGGAAAATTGCCATTTTGGAACTCAGCACTAAGGTAATTTATTGTACTCGATAACTATAGCATAAATGGGCCTATCTATGTTTAAACTCTATCCAAAGGCCGCCGATCGGGGCCAAAATGATGCCCTTCGTTTCCATTTTGAGGGGCAACTGAGTGCGTTCACTCAGTCGGAGCTCGTAATGGACCAAACTGAGCACTAAGGCGACTTTCGATTGAATCATCGCAAACCGCATTCCTAAATTTATGTTTCGTTGTTATTGTGCGACGTTTCGAACTTTTTTGGCTCACCTATACAGTTCCTCGGGCCCGATCCAAATGGAATATAAGTCCCATCCTTCACTTTGGACTTGTTCTGATCGCTGAACCGTTCGGGGTCGAACAGATCAGGATTTGGGAAGTAGACTGGATCCCTATGCAGTCCAATGCAAGGGATGAGCACCGATTGGCCTTCTTCGATGAAAGCGTTCGTATTGGGGATTCGGTAGCTTTTGGTGCACTTGCGAAGAAACACTGGTGCCGGAGGGTATTTGCGAAGCGTTTCTGTTGGACAATCACTGATTAGGGAACCTAGAAGAACCTGAAAAGTTTACCGTTGAAAATCATGTCAAGGTACTTCATCTCCATGAGGGCGTCATAAGTGATTTCCCCACCATGCTGGGCAAGTATCCCGAGGGCTTCTTCGCGCGCTCGCTGTTGAATATGAGGGCAACGAGCCATCTCAAAAAGGGCAAAGCTGGTGGTGGTTGAAGTCGTCTCAAACCCAGCAAGGAAGAAGATGAAGGCTTGAGCCGCAGCCTCGTCCACTGTTAAGGCCGTTCCTGGCTCAGTTTGCTGGAAATGATCTTCTTCAGCAATGTGCGTTTAATGCTGAATGTTCGCGCACCTTGGCCGGTTCCAATTCATCGTCAACAATGCTTCTGTTGTTCTTCAACTCAACTAGAAGTTGCATGAAGTCCTTGCGCTGAATGCCGTTAGTTTCCCTGAACGTGATGGTTTCGTCGACAACTTTTCGGAAGAAACTCGTCACGCTGTCGGAAAACACGCCCAGTCTGAGCGCTTTGGCGATCGGCGGAAAGCTTCTGATCACTATCTGCAAGGGGTTGGCTTTTTATCTATTTCCTCCTATTGGGGAAGGGGAATGGTACCATTTTCAAGACATCGCCGATGGTTTGCGTAAAAGCGCGCCTCCCCATTCGTCGAAACTCGGCCTCAGGATTCCTCATGGTGTTGCAGTCCAATCCAAAGGCACAGCAACCAATCACATCAGTGCTGTATCTGGCCAGGATTTCCTGAAATTCCAGGAGTAAATCTAATTGGCTCCAGCAAGGCTTTAACGTTTTTAAAACTCCCATGACCTTTATTTCAACTTCGCCCTGCTTTTCCGATATTTCGCCTATAACCTCTGACATCTGCTTGCCGCAATTCAGGATCGTGTTAAACATTCCCTTAAGCTTAACGGGCGAATACGCCGGGGTCAGTTTCGCCCTCAAATTTTTCCACTTGGGCCCTGCGATGGAAAACAAATGTGCGCTCAACGGGTCGTTTTTCTCATCGTAGTAAATCCCTGTAAATCTCGTGGTTAACGCGGAATATTCGACCGGAATAAACATTTACCTCTGTCGTAAAAGTGCTGGAAGTCTTTGCCTAGGATGTCTTTGATGAGGGCGGGATCGAGCGGCAAAAAGGCCTTTCGGCTGAAGAAGTACAGGCCTACATAATCGTGGCCTTGCCGCCTTTGGTGGGCGTAGATTTGATTGATTTTGTCGCCCATGTTTTGCTTTCTGGAAGTTGTTGGGAATTTCCACACTTGTTTTGAGTGCAGGGGGTTTTTTACCTGAAAATCACATCGGCCATATCTCCAAAAGGAAACTGCGGGCTTAGTTGCGGGATCCCCAGTCGCCTCCAGTACTTATACGAGTCCTTGAAATAAATGTAAGCTAGGACTAGTATAACAGCTAGCATGACTACTAGGAGCATCTTCGGGCTGTTTCACTCGCAAGCGACTCGAAACGTCTTCCAGCCCACACACACAAACCTGCTGACTTAATTCAATTAGCAAGAACCATTGCTTGCATGTGCACTTTCGATTATGCGGTAACGAGTTATGATGGATTTAACAATTTGCGCGTACAAGCGCTCGTAACTGTTTTCCACCTGCGAGCTGCGAGCTTTCACCTCGCTGGGCTCACGGATTCTACTGGCCGAAGCGATCAGAAAAATGTGTAAATTTCGGCTGTGGCCTAGATTTTGCCCCACAATAAGAAACAGTCTTGGCGTTCAATTTTTTTCCAGTCAGAAGATCAATTCTGTTGAAAAAGGCGCAATTTCCTGCGGATCGTTCCTCCGGACTACCGAAAGACTGTTCAATAGTTCGCTGCTGAAAAAGCCGACTTTCCCGTGGTATCTCCAAGAAAAACCGGCAAAACTTTTGCTCCTCAGCCGGTTTCAAGTTCAGATTACAGATCGATCCGCTAATCTCTAGTTCACATGTTGGACGGTTTCTTCTAACTAGGTGAACGGTAATTAAGTGAAAAGTGTTCCAAAAGTTAACGGCCGGGCCGGCCAGGAATCAAATTAAGCGGTCAAACGTAAAACAACTTTTATTCGTTCGGTCTTCCCAAGCAAATCCATTAAGGATTTCTAGCGTTGATTAAGTTCGCCTGCCTTCATGTTCCAATATTTGCAGATAACAGTTGGTCAACCCACATTCAAAGCAAACCCAGCTGGAAGCGTTGATTCAGAGAACAAGCAAATATTGCCATTGGTTGACATGGCGTGTTCTTTTGTGCCTTGTCTGATTGCGATTTCCCTTGCAGGGAACTGTGGAACTGCGGAACGAATTGGAGCGGCTGCAAACCAGCTTGGCCCATCAGCAAAAATCCAATCTGTGTCTGGAGGCCGAAAATTTGGAACTGAAAATGGACCTAGAGAAGCACACGAAGGAGACCCCGCATCTGCAGGAGCAAATCCAGCATTTAGAAAAGTAAATTTGTCATTGTGAATCCCCCTGTTGAGTTGCGCGCAACTTTTTGGTTGATTGCAGCTACATTGAGCTGCTCAAAGACGAGAACCAGCAGCAAGCTTCCAGCTCGAGTGACGCCCCATGCGTCGCTGAGTCCAGGGAGGAGAAAAAGGTTTCCCAGCTGGAAAGAACCGTGTTCATTCTAAAGAGAGTCGTGGAAAAACTTCAAGTCGAAAACAAGCGGCTGCTGAGTGGAAAGCGCCCGCTTTCAGAGAGATCTGTAAGTTTTCGCATTGGAGATTAAAACAAAGGACATTTTTGCGGTTTTAGCCATCCGCAGACAAGCTGCGGCGCGACCACATCCGCTTGAAAGAGCAACACACCGACAGTTTGCAAAAAATTCAAATCCTGGAAGCGCATCTGCAAGCGGCCAAGAAGCTGTCCAAAAGCAGAATGGAAAGCGCGGAAGTTGAGCAGCTGAAGGCGCAGCTGGACGAAGTGAAGGAACAGCTTGCTCAGAAAGCCCATCTTTTGGAAAAAGTCAAGTCTTTGCTGCATGCAGCGGCAGCTAAAGAGAAGCGTCTTTTGGAGGAAGTACGCACTACTTCCACCTGGATTACTTCCTTCATTTGATTCATTGAATTTGCATTTTCAGATAGCGGAACTAAAGTTTGCAATTGATCGCCCGGATGACCATCAGCTAGATATTCCCAGCCCCATAGAAGAAGTTTCGGAAATTAGCAGCGACAACTAGTGTTTTTGCCGGACAGATTCAGGTTTTTTACCACGCTTTTTCGTTGAAACGTGCAAATGATATGTTTGTTTACGACAAGCGATCACTCGTTTGCGCGTGCAACGCAAAATATTCCATATTTTTCAGCAACAAAACACCATTTGCGCTCAATAACTTGAAAAACCTAGTTTTATGCAAAGTGTGCTTTTTGGTGTTCTGTGCAGTTTTGAGTGAGCCTTATCATGTAAAGCAGCAAATCATTCCGGAATTAAAGTTGCAGACAACGAGTTTGTGGAACTTTGCATATTATGCAAATACTGCAGTGAGAACTTCCCTTTATGTCCGAGGGTCTCAGTGTCTGCAAACACTGCGAAAATGAGCCTAAGCCCTGTTTGCCGTTGTTGAATTTCTGCCATCGTTTTCCAACTATCGTTGATCGACGCTCAATTTGCCACAATCGCCCAATCCGTTAAAACAGATAGGTTTTAAGTCCCCATATCGTCGAGTGGATATCAACATAATGGCTTCGCAAAGGGCCAAATTTAATCGCGTTCGCGACGGAACTATTAATATATTTAATTAAGCTTCTCGAATTGGGGTTCGGATGGTGATCAAATAAACTGAGATAAAAGTCCAAAACCGGAGCACTCGCTGCAACAAAGCCATCAATCAATCAAGAATTCCTGCTTTAAAAATGTTCCCTTCATTTCCCTCAATGTGTATAAAACCAATAAACATTATCCTGTTTAATCTTCTCCGTTCTTCCTTGTTTTTATTAATTCTTTCAGATTTTTGCAAGCTTTACTTATCACTGATGGGCTATCAGCTTTTCCGAGAAAATTGGATTGCTTCCGAACCAATAAATCTTGAGGGTTGGAATTTTATGCCCCTTCATTTCCCACTATTATCCTCTAATATATTTACTTCCCTTTAAATAACAAAATTGCTTTCAAACGAGGCCTAAAGCGTGCTTTTGTCTGGACCAATTTCTGACAAGAATATACGTCGTTTTTTGCGGCAAATATACATTAAAATCGATACACATGCTACAAGGAGTCTGCCAGGGGAACAAATGACACGAAAGCCCATTTTAAATCTTTATTTTCTTCATATAGGGAAATGAAACTTACAAAATCGTCGTGAAGCGTTATGCGACCAAGTAATGTATTAGACGTCCTAAGAGATATGTCGAGAAAAACATTCGGAAAATATTCTATTACAGCAAACATCTATATTAATATACATAAATTTATTGCAAGCTATACTTTATACAGTTCTTTGTTACGCTATTTTGAGTACCTACGACTTCAGGATTCACTTTTCGTGTAGTATATGGTCTGTTTGGTTGTTTATCATTAATATTAACTGTGTATATTTTCCTAACTGTATTTCAACTTAATTGAAAATGAATTCCTGGGTCCAGTCAATTTTATTATATAATATAAGCCGTTCATGCTTGCCAAATGTGAAGGTAGAAACAACCATACATACAAACTGATGATGGTGGAGAAAAACACCGAAACGTTTTTGTAATATTTTAAATGGTAAACAATAAAATTGACTGGAACCCGGGAATTCCTTTTGAATTAATATTAACTTCCTTCTGCATATGCTTTCATGTCGCTGCCTCTACAAGAGCGAGTGAATGTGAACTTAAGTCCCAAAATGTGCCATATAATGTATAATTCTGTCGAATTCATTTAAAGTTGAATGTTTGGCTTTGCCGGATTCCTTTCGCAGCTTTCTCTTTAGACAAACATGCAATTTATTAGTAAAACTAACGCATTGAGAAAAAAATGTAGACTCGAATGTTGGAAAAGTTCGAAAGCAAAAGTGCGATTTTCTTTTCAATTCAATCGGACCCAACCATTTGGAAGCAAATATTTAATTGTTCGCCACCGAATTTTTGCAGCGAAAAACTCAATGATTAATTTAAAAGTATAATTTTCCATCGCCAACCTTTCGGGTTAATTAACTTTAAATCGCAAATTGTTCACTTTTGAATAGGGAATGTATTGTAATTTGGTCAGTCCGTTTCACTTATTTAAGCACATTCCTATCAGTTATTGCTTGCGTTTTCAGTTTTCCTCACTTATTCAACTTAAACTAGTAAAATTAAATTTCTCTATTGCACTTCATTTACTTGAATGCATTCTGGAGTTGGCTTTATCTGAATATTCTACATTTTCAGTTGGTGTTAGTTTGGCATACATTGACTTTTGCTTATTCTATTCTAGAGTAGTTATTTACAAATAGATGCTTTTTTACAGAAGTTAAAAAAATACCTCGCCGGTTAAGAGGAGTGATAACATTCTCAAAAAATAGGCTATTTAAATTAAATTTATATTTACATTTAGTCGTCTCTTTACGAAAATTTGGATTGTACATTATTGGTCGGTAAAAATTGAGGTACATACACTTAGTCCAGTTACCAGCTTTTACTTGCTAAGTTTTTACAATATAATTTCCGTGATTGGAAAGCGCCGCTGTAACTTCACTTACGTAGACCATGTTCTCCTGTGATTTTTGCTATAATTTACAACTTAAGCTTACCAATACTAAAACTTTGTAAATATGCCCGTTTACCTACTTAATACTTGATTGCATTCACCTACAATTTACATGCTTCAGTTCTAATAGACTGTTGTCAATTATATCTAAAAAACTGCTGTACAAATAAATTGTCATCATTATTCTAAGATTGTTGATCAGTTTTGTTCAATTGAGCAATATTCTGGAAAAACCACTAAGTTGCTTCCAATCTTCCGGTTGCTCAATTAGAAATTGTTGTTGTATACAAAAGTTGCTGGCTCACCCTGTATTTATAGCAGTTAAGCTTCATTTTGATCAAAAAATTGCATTGAACAGTGTCGTGCCCGAAGGGCTCGGCACAACAAACCTGCTTGTTGATGTAGATGCTAGTCTACTTGAACGTTCATTAGAGTCTATTTGCTTTAATTTTTACATTTTCGGTAGCCGGTTGTTGCTCAAATATGCCTCAAGACAAAAAAAYTTAAAAWTCTCAAACCCAAGAAATTATTCGCGGTTGACATCATTGCAATTATTTTACATTCCCCCTTGTTTCAGTTTCTGTTTTATGGCTTTTTCACTTTCGTGCTGTTGAAACAGCGGCATAATGAAAAAATTAGCGGAGAAAGACGCTTAGAGAATTGACATTATCCTTGGCGAATCTGTTGGATTAATAAACCAGACAATTTATCCATAATGAAGCCTTTTACATTCGCAAACCGCGAGATGAAACGAGGATAATCCAGGATTTAATGACCGGAAACTGCATATTTCAGGACCATTAAATATTTTAAATTGCGGTTTCGTTCCTGCACGCCTCCGGCCAGGCCATAAGAATCAATGGCGTTTAGGATTTATCGACGATAAAGGATAACTTTCGCAGAAATTGACAGAAACCTGCTAGTTTATTCTAGTCGAGAAGCTTTAAAAGCCGGGGCTATTGAGCTGCTAGTAGACTGTTTTTGCCTTTATTTTACACTTTGCTCAAATGGGCCTTCGGATGGTATGTTTTGTTGTTGCCGAATCTTTCTGGCCCCTGGTATGGAAAAAGTGAACAAAACTTGTCAATACAAGTCTAATTTCAGGCAAGTTGTTATTAATCGCGAGAAACTCGAATGAAATTTCCCCATTACTTTCCGCCACGGATAGACCCATCAACGTTTCAAAGTCGGACCAACTGCGTGTTAGAATAGCATAGAAGAGGGCGGTCATGCGAGGCACTCTGTCCTTTATAGTTGAGTGGCATGGTGTGTTTCATGAAACACGTGCCAATAAACAGATGAGCTTCTGGGCTGGTGAACACTATTCTATATGTATGTAACTGTTGAAGTGGAATTGGATGTTTTCATGCTCGATTCCTGCTTTATTAGCAGCTGAAGGATGTAGATTTTGTAGGTCTTGTTAGGAAAAGAGACACAATTATAACTTTAGACAGAATATTGAGCAGTCGGGTGATTTTCGGGTTTTTCGGGCAGCAAGCTCGATGCACATTTCCTGCTTATTATAAACTAATTTCCCGGAGTTCTACACTTTACACAAGCATTATTTTCAACTTAGCTTATCTCGATTTATCAAAGTTAAAGTTTCGCTCTTCTTCAGGCGCTGTAATTGTGCAACTTGGAAACTTAAACTTGTTTTCCTACATTTAATCGCTTTTATGTTCAAACCGCAGCTTTAATAGAATATTTATACAGTGCTAAACGTATGTTCTGGGACGACTCAATTGTACCAAAAACCCACCAATTTTCAAACCAAACCGCACTCTCTTGCTAATATTCAAATTGCTTTTCGCAACTGAATCCAGCATACAGGGTGTTTTCATGGCCATGAAAACACCCTGTATGCTGGATTCAGTTGCGAAAAGCAATTTGAATATTAGCAAGAGAGTGCGGTTTGGTTTGAAAACTGGTGGGTTTTTGGTACAAAATAGTGGTGAACAAGAATTCGTACTTGTGACCTAAAAACACGAAAAACTCTTCAGTACCTTGTTGTGCAAAAACACATCCATCTATCTTGTTAGCTGACTTCTACTAATTTGATGGTAACGCTGTTGCCTGACTTATGTTTTTTTCGAAAAACTCTCTAGAACCAAGCCATAAAAGTATCAATTTTCAATCGGCTCTGCCCAAACAATTCCGGGCAATCGACTTTGTATTGAAGAGTGAAATTGGTGCAGCATGCTCTGAATGACCAAAGAGCGGAAAACTTCGAACTGACACAGAGTGGGAATTTTTCAAAGGCCACTCTTAATTGCTTGACCAACTCTCACAGCTTGGAACAAATTAAATGCGATGCGTCCGAGAAGGAACATGTTATTCCCGTAGGAAGAAACTCAATTTAGTGGAAAGGCTTGCAAGGTGTGTGGGTTTTTCGAGCAGCTCCTAGAGCATGACAAGAATACCCTCAGTCCATCAAAGATAAACTATAAATGTGCATATAAAAATTAGTCCAATTCCAAACAAGCCTATTAATTATTGAACCTCTGCCACATTCTCTGCAGTTTTACCCATTCAACTGCAGCAAATAATGCCAGTTATGATCATTTGTGCCGTTCGAGCACATTTTCCCAATCGGCCATCGTTCGGCTTAAAACGCCAATTTCAGACCATTTTTCCTCTGCAATTCTCTGCGGTCTTTATTGTTATTTGCTTATTGATTGCATAGAATCCCACATGAGCTGAAATAATGTAAAACACTCCATTTGGGGCCATTATGAAACACGCGTAGGTGGTATCAATATTGTTACGTTCCGAATATTCATCCCATTAAAATGAATGGATTGGCGTTCGCAAATTGATGGAAAACTTTCAAGTTGGATCTTCATTTGCTGAATATTCTACTAATTGGCTTTGACAACTTTTCTACAGCTTTAATCGATTTTTTATTACAGCTAACATTTTGTGTATTGCGTTTGGATTTTAAGCAGCTTGTGAACATTTATTATCAGTGTTTCAAGTGCTTGCAACAACGAGCCGTTGATCGATCAAAACCTAGTGGAAAAATTCAGCGAATGCGTCAAAGCATTTTCAAATTAAAAACCAATTAAATTGGCTCTACTGGTTCCCATAGTCAACAGAAAAAAATGAATTTAGATGGCTATGAAATCGAAAACAAGTATTTTGCCACGTGTTTAACCTCGGGCTAAATAAAAGAGCGCGAGTTAAATGAAACATTTTAATTCACTATATTTGCCCAAAAATTTATTTAAAACACTGCTTCAAGTTTCAAGCGTAAATTCGGAACTTTTTCAAGTAATTTACAGTGTTTTGAATTGCGTGTGTGAATTGCGTTCGCAAACAATCATGTTTCTATTCAAAGCACACCCAAAATCCAGAAATTTCCTCCAAACGTCTCTGGCATCATTAAATAGAACTTTCAGCAATGGAACGAAGCGAAACTGATTTCGCACTTGGTAACGCAGCTGGCCCCGGTTTTCTCTCTCGCGCACGTGTAGTTCAACGACAGTCGCCCGCAGCTTGCGCGCTACTACGTTCCAACTTGACACCTTTACGGCTTAAAATATTTTCATTTTCCGCGAGAAAAAAATTCAAAAAACTAAAATAATTGCGAACTAAAAAACTGATTCATCTGCAACTTCAGTATCAGACACTATTTGGGCAACAACTTACGCGCCTTCTCAGCCATCTACCTCTTAAATTATCGCCTCATTCTGGAAATTCACAATCTCCCCCTCTGATATGTTGTAGCTACACCTCGGTATCGTCTGGTCTCTGGTGATATAATTTCCGGGTATCTCACTGGAGGCGTTGCTGTACGAAATGGGCGCCTCCCTTTGCTTCGACCGCCTCCAACAGGCGACTTTTGACATCATCTGGCAACAGCTCTGCAGGGTCTTCTTGAACGCCACCCTGAACTCCCGGTTGAAGTATGCGTAGATCAGCGGGTTGAGGGCGGAGTTGAAGTAGCCCACCCAGAACACCAACGTGACCACCCATGGTGGGCTGTAGCAGAGTTGGTTGCCGCAAAGAGCTGATATAACGTACCTGAAACAGAGACATTTTTGCAGTTTACAGCCAGAGAATATTCTAAAAATGCTTGGTTTAAAAGACTTCAACTGTTGGACGATGCGCGTAAAATCCCGCCAGCTTCCTGAATAGATGTAATAAACATGTATAAATTACATTTCGGGAACCTTTGTCTTAATTGAGGTTAACATCGTGCTACATCTAAGATCGCTAATCAATGGATGGATAATAAATTTCGGGAGTTAAGTTCCCAAAGCTACTGGCTGGAGCCTGGATTTATCGCGACCAGATGTGGGGCTGATTTATCAGCAGTCGAATAGCTATTTAAGTTAAAATTTTCGGTCTCGTTTGATGGAAACAGTTACGGTTGACGCATGCAGAATCGGGATCTCTTTAAGAAACGTGCAATGTTTGCTATCTTTGAGAGTTGAGTTGAGTTGAGAAATAGTATGAATTTCAAACACCTTTTCTCAATCGGGTTTTGTGATGAAAAATGTGAAACAACGTTTAAAACGTCGCAACTCAAAAACGGTTGCAAAAAATACTCCTAACCTCTAAAGAGTTGGAAGCAAAAAAATGACTGAAGGATTGCGTGAGAGGATGATAACATCGCAGCTCAGAAACAGTTTTCGACTTTTTCTATGGAGAATCTCGTTGGCGTTAAACCTTGCCAGACATTCCAAACCTCTAAAGAGTTAGAAGCAAATTCTTAAGCGATTATTGAACTTTGAGCGAATGTATCTCAGAACCGGTTGGGAAAAATGATTCACCCATAAGAACCTTTCTGATTGATCGTCTTAAAAACTGTATTTTCGCATCTAGGTTGTACCTAAAATTCCTAACCTCTAAAGAGTTATAAGCTAAAACTGCCCAGCAACTTCCAAGGCCTTGAAAAAATTACGGACGTTTGTTAAAAACAATGCCTAAGGCAAGTTGATGTTTTTTAAGGGTGAAACCAAGGAGAGAATAAAAAAGCTTTTAAGCACAATGGTATGCGGTGAAACTTTTGGGCGCTATGCAATTTACATAATCGTCTATGCGTAGAGCAATTTGGTGGGTTATTACGAGAAATTGGATATCTTATTATTTTTCATGTCATGGAGAAACGGGGAAGCTATAATGGAGTGGCAATGAGGCGGAAAGTTAGGTTGAGTCAATTATCTATGTGGAAACTGTGGAAAGGTCGTAACTGCACCCCATATAGGGGCGAATGCGAAAGTATGCGATAAAATGTGGAAATTTGCACATTTCGATAAAGAAATATCCGCGATAAGACCGATGGATAGAATTAATTTTGACGCATGAACAGGGTGTTTTTTGAGCATTTAATGTGGCAGTTGCTGATTGTAAATTCGCCTGCGGTGAAACACCTTGGGAATCCTCAATGGCTCCAATTAGGGCGTTTAGGGCATTGATTAACTAATCAGGAGTTAAATCCTCATGCGACTTCGATTATAATAGTATCAACGAGATTGTGGAAAAAGTCTGTTGGAACAACAACTTGGGCAAACGCCCCGAAAACATCCTCCGAGTAAATTTAATTAAAACACGTTGAAATAAACGGCTGGCAGGGATTAGAGAGCGCCATTGTCTGACATTCATCATTTGGTTGCGCAAGTAAATCGAGCATTAACTAAGTATCGCGTTATCATGCTTTTACCCCAGTTTAATCTATCTATTTTTAGACCACCTAAGAGTCTTCTCCATTGCCCATTCTTGTCGCAAACAATCATTTATATCTCCCGCGAATATTCGCCTCCCTTGTCAGCTTGTTTTCTGCTTATCGCCTAATGAAGACCGAAATGCGAGAATTAGGCGCTAAGGTGATAAGCATCTGGCATTTATCAAATATCTCCAATCCATTCAGTCTTAGACAAAATTGCACAGGCAAAGAAAATGGGTGTCGATGGAACAATCAACAGAGCCTCTTCTAGAGGCTCTTAGGCCATTGAGGAAAATAGTGACTGAAAAAACCGCTTATAGAGGAACACCCTGTACTAAAGCGATCGTCCAATAGAATAACCAGGCAATTACTATTGGGCAGGGGCATTTGAACCGCAACAAAAGCGTCGATTTATTTACCTTTGTCGGGTTTATTAGCTGGGGCCAAGGAATGATTATAAATAGCGATTCAATACGACACGCCATCCAGCCATTTATTCTATTCGCTTCTATTTGCGCCTGCATTAAACATGTCTGGGTTTATCTTAATTGTGCGATTTCGTTGCACAATTGGGTTGATTTGCATGGAAATGTGGAAAAAATGAACATCAAAGCACTGGTCTTCTGGCTTTGATATCGTCTAGACAGGTTGGAAGCGAGCTGAAAAAACGTTTCCTAAACAAAATATTATTCGGGTCTGGAATATTGTCTAGTCAGATTACTTTTGTTTGGATGATAAATTGTCCGAAAGCTACCTCGGCCTGTTCGCAGACCATCCCATACTCAAACTGCCGATTTAAGGGCGATCTGCTTTCGTCGCTCACCCTTTTTCGAAACCGTTTGTTCATTTATCACAGCGACAGTTGCGAGAGCCGCATAACAAAATATCAAATTTTCATCAATTTTCTATAACTTTTTCCCTCGATGCGGCCAACTCGGAAATTGCCAAAGAAAATGCGCAAACATTGCGTTATGGATGCAAAGAAAAACAGTGTCATTTTCACTCATTCTCTTTAAGCGGAAATTAACCCAGTTTAAAAACATTAAACTCTGCTTTTAAATTTCCTGATGATTTTTTCACTCTTACTGCCTTTGGCATATATTTAAATAAATCCACCTCTGAACGCTTTCCGGGGATCTATCTAGATTAACCGGGTATTGATTTTGATCAGCTCTGCCTAACTAAGTATAAACAAATACGTGCCCTCGTTCAAGTAGGCAATTTGTATTTATAAATAACGATCGAGTGGACAAGACGGAATATTAAAAAGCCGGTTTTCTGAAAACAGAAAATTTCATTTACTTCAGGATCCAGACACCTCGAAGCAGTATTATACAATATTGGCAAAAATCAGCTTTTGGGGCAATTTTCATCAGATTTTTAGGACTTCCAGACTCAAATATGCTCCATTGATACTGCGAAACACCAGTTGCAACTTGAATTCGTTTGGAAGTTTTAATGAGCAGGTGAAATTGTATGAAAATGGAGTAATTTTCCGGCCAGCATTCACTTGGCGGGGAAAATTCAGAGTTGGTTGCAATTTGTTTGGGTTTTTCACTCCGTCCAGCCTGAGATCTCCTGTATCGACGGTGAAAGTTTCCCGGGGCTGGATCTGGATTGGAAGCTGGAGATTTTAATACAAGGGGGTGTGATTGTGCGAAATTATTATTTTTTTAGACCAGAATTGAGTTGGTGACTAAAAATTCAGTAATGTTGGGATTTTTTTGAAATTTTGCCGCTTTTTAGCCAAAACCATATCCTATGGATTGTGAAACTCCCAAGTAGCTGTTTTGATTGGATGGGAAGTTGCAAATTTTTAAATAAGCGCGGGTCATTGCGTGGCAACATTCACATTCTGGTCCGCATTCATTTGGTCCATAAAAATCAGGAGTTTGAGATATTTTACTCGATTTTTCAGAGCTTTTTCAACAGGCTCTTGGCCACATACGCTGAAAAGCTCAAGTTTCTACTTGCTCAAAATTCAAAGTTACAAGTTTTTAAAGCGAGTGTGCATTTGTGGTAGAACAATGACTATCAGTCCAGCATTTGCAATGCTGGCAAAAGTTCCACTTTTCCTCGATTTAAGTACAATTGTGAACGCGAAAAGATTCCAGTGGTGTCTATAGCTGGTGAAAACTTTAAGCTTCTGCTGGTTCAAAAATAAAAATGTTGACTTTTTTAGAAGCTTTGTGCTTTTGTGACAAATTAGAGCGGCATTTGCAATGTTGGCAAAAATCAGTTTTTATCGCCA